GACCCGGACCCGGACCGGCGCAAGAAAAACGATATACCCCGAGCGGTACACGCAACAGAAGCTACGAGAGGCCAGAATCGACGAACACCATATGCTCATGCTCGACGAGATCGTACAGGAGGTTAAGATGGGCAGGATGAATGGTCCCTTCGCACAACCACCACATTGGCAACATCACACTATTGCACCCAGCAAATACCCAGAGCTCCAACTCCTACCTCTTCATCATCCCACGCCCGCGATAGCGCTCGCATTCAGCATACAACAAGTCGGATCAGACGGCGACGAGAAGATCAAACGAGGCGAGGGTTGGCGCCGCAGCGGGCGCAACTCCACTTGCATCACGCGCGATCAACCGTACCACCGCGCCCCAGACGGCCCGGGCCCGGGTCCGGGTCCGGGTCCCGCGTCCGGGTCCGGGTCCGGGTCCGGGTCCGGACCTGGCCGGGTTTGGGTCTGCGGGTGGGTCCGGATCCGAGCCGGATCCGGGCCCGGGTCCGGCCCGGGTCCAGATCCGGATCCGGGCCCGGGTCCGGGTCCGGGGGGGGTACGGACGACGAGAGACGAGAAAAGTGATATGATGACCGTGCTCAGCAAAGTTGGATGTACCAATTGGTGCCTGGTTGTAGCTGGCCCGTGAGACGGAACCCAAACGATAACTCTCTGTGTGTGATGTCCGCTTGTGGGTAGTTGATCTGACGTAGCAAGAACGTGAACACAGGCGCCTGCGTCACGTGTTTGGCCGTGGTGTATGCGTGCTGCACGTGAGACGGCAAGGTGTGTAGCCATGTTGCGGTTTCAGCGTGCATTTCGGTGACCAGATCACGGATTTCGTTGACAACCTGTCTGCGGAACTCGGCCACTGGGTGGAAGAGGTGGGCATGTTGCACTGCCCATTCCAGTGCGGGGTCAAGTGGCTTAGGTGTGTAGGATGTGTCCAGGAAAAGTGTCCATTGCAGGTGTTCCTGCCACGAGAACTGTGGCACGCACTGGTCCCCTTGGCAGCAGCTGCAAACAAGAGGAAGAAGAAAGGCAAGGGCGCAGCTTCTCCCAAGAGAAGGCGTAAGAGAGGCAAAAAGCCTCAGAGGGGCTGCGAGAGCTCGGAGGCACCGTTGGAAGATAGAGATGAGGAGTAGTTAGGCCCCGACTGCATAATGTACAGGATCTTGCAATGTGTTCTTCTTCAGGTTCACTGCGGGGAGGTAAAGCAAGTGGACTCCTGTCAAAAGATCTCTGTGCCAGTAGGATGCGTTTCTGTCTGCCCCGGGTCTGACATGTTTTTTGTTGCACGAAGTATCAGGCGATACGCGACGCTACATGCGTGTTGCAGCAGGGCACGATCAGCTGATAGGAACGCAGAACATCATCATGTTGCAGGATTGCACGTGCATCTGATAGGATGCTAGGAT